GAACCACTGGAACATATTAGTTAAGACTGCCAATTGCTGATATTTTTAAAGATAAATTCTCTAGATAAAGGTTAAAATGTTGGCCAAAGAAAACTTTTGAAAACACCTATGTTTTCTCAGTAGTTTTTTGGCATAATTCTTTTGGTGTGAAAATTTTATATTTTAAACCATTTTTATTGAAAATATAACATACCTATAGAAAAGTACATAAAACAGGTACAGAGCCTAATGAAATACTTTTAGGAAAACATTCTTCTACCTACCACCTAGGTCAATGAACAAAACTTTACTTTCTATTGTCACCATTATTTGAGTACTTTATTATCTGGCATCTCAAGATATTCCAGGCTCATTCTGTACTTTCTCTGCCTCTGGCCTGGAATTAGCTATTTCTCCAAAAAGCTCTGGTTCATTTGGTTGGAAAAAATGGTAATTACAAACCAACATCTGGACGACAGTTGTGCTCATCACTACTGGCATATCATTTCTTCTATGCTTTTTTAAACAAGGTGATCTTTTAAAAAATGTTTTAAAGTACAGAAAGAATATACTAGTCTTTTCACAGTTTTAGAGATGTATGTAATTTGAAGAATTATGGTGGTGAACAACCAAAACTATGCAAAAATGTACAATAGAAACTTACTGATGAGTAGTATTATACAGGGTATCAATGCATGAGGGACTAATATTACACTTCTACCCGCCAAATTTTAGCATAGCCCTTCTCCCAATTAAATTTTTGCCTATATTTGTAGTAGTAGTTACCAGGCACATTTCCAAAACCTTTTTAGCTCTTTGGGAACTTTATAAATATTGGTTGGTGGTGGAGAATTTAGGGTCTCAAGAGTAAAATGTGTTAAAAACTACTTAATGTCCACAATGTCATGACTGAAATCCTGTCTAGGGGTCATTTCTGCAGAAAACAAAGTATTGGAGCAAATAAGCATTGAGACCATCAAAAAGATGTTATTTTATACAATCAAAATGTGAATAATTTTTATTACATATTATTAAATCTTAATGACTTTGGAATGTGATATGGAGTTTTTATTGTGCTTAAACTTTGAATTTTCTATTACTTTATGATAAAATTTTGATTTATGTAACAAACAGAATGACTTCTGTGAAGAGTTCTGTTTCATTCTCTGAGCAGTTTCTGTTCTTCATGGATACAATGTCTTATCTTTCTAGAAATATTAACAAAGTAATTTTTAAAAAAGATTTCTTTTGCTCTCTACATTGGTTTATTAGTTTTAGTTTTCAATTTTTAAATCAAAGGATTTCCTCAAATGTTTGCTGGTCTTTGGTATTCTTTCATATTTGAGTAAGGCTGATGAGAAACGACAGTGCCTGGAATGACTTACTACCTGGGAGGTTTCACTGAAGAGCTAGGGGGAGGTAGTAACTTGCCATTTCTTTGGTGACTGCCCAAATGCCATTATATCCAGGTTTTTCTTTTGGGCCAACCAGTTTCCCCAGAGATGAATCTTCCAGTTTTTGCCTGAGGTGTATATTTGCCTGGCTTCTTCAGCTTTAGGAGAAGAGTGGAAGTTAGAATTGAGTGCCTCATTGTTTTGTATACATTCACTTAAGAAAAATTAAATGTAATTAAAATAAAATTGGGGTAAAATACACATAAAATTTACCACTTAAACCATTTCATAGCATTAAGTACATTCACAATGTTGTGCAGTGAGTCTCCAAACTCTTTTCATCTTACAAAACTGAAACTGTTTTCATTAAACAGTAACTCCCCATTTCTCCCTTACTCCAGCCCCTGGCAACCACCATTCTACTTCTGTCCCTGACTTTGACTACCCCAAGTATCCCAAATAATGGGTTCATACAGTATTTGTTCTTTTGTGACTGGTTTATTTCACTTAGAATAATGTCCTCAAGGTTCATCCATGTTGTAGCATGTGATAGGATTTCCTTCCTTTTTAAGGCTGAATAGTATTCCATTTTGTGCATGTACCACATTCTGTTTACATCATCTGTGGATGGACATGGGTTGCTTCCACCTTTTGCCTATTGTGAATCATGATGTTTTGAATATGGGTATATATATCCAAAAGTAGAATTGCTGGATCATAGGGTATTTCTATTTCTTATTTTTTTGTGTATGTATAGATATTTCTATACAACCTCCCTTATTGCACTTTACTCTCTGCCACGTGTAGTAACCCTGAGTGTTGCAGATTCTCCACATCACCTTACCCACCCTCTCCTTAAAACTATCTTCTCTTTGTGGGCATAAGCCTGTAGTTGGGATAGTTATCTAGCTATTTGGGGTTAGAAAGGGTATTTGAGGGCCCAGACACCCTGCATGTGAACTTTGAGCATAATCTGTTTGTTTTCCCTGCTGTTACAGGAGCTAGAATAGGGTCCTCAGTCCCTTGTCTTCCTGTGTTACAAGAATTTAACATGGAGGCTTAGGAGTATGTAAGCAAACAGTGCATTTTATTAGAGAAGTGAGGAAAGAGAAACACCGTGATAGACCAAGGTGGGCTGCTCAAGAGAAAGTCAGCCCTGAGAAGAATCAGGTTAGGTTCTATTATGGGGAAGGAAAATATTTGTTCACTAGTTATTAGGTCACTTAGCATTAATAGGGAGGATTTCAATTAGCACATGCGCAATTGTATTACATATATACAATGTATATTGCAAGGTCACACATTGTGCTTTGGTTCATTGATTATCTTACCAAGGGGTCTCTAAACATAGGACATAGCCTCTATAAAACTTGTTAGAACAATAGGTGAACAGGAAAAACAAGGCATATTGGAGCCTCACAGGGTCAGTGCTCCTAGTCTCAAGGCATTTTTGTCAGGATATAGGTATGTGGAGTTAGACTGGTCTCTCCATTTTTTTCTACCTATCTCACCGCCACACTTTGCCCTCATCTCCATCCAGTATCTACCTGTGGATGTGTCAGGTAAATGTGCTCAAAAACTAATTCACTGAAAGCGAACTCACTTAAATGGCCAACTACTTGCAAATGAGGAAGGTGATAGAGGAACGCAGACAGATAGAGTTCAGGGCCCCTGTACATTCAAAAGTACACTTAGATAGACCTCAGCTCTGATTGGTTACAGCCTATGCAAATGAAGCATTGTACTTTCAGCCAATTAAGACTGGGTTGTGATGTCATTAGTTCAGTTCTCTATTTGGTCCTCGGAAAAACAGCATTCTCAGCCAGTAACAGACGCTCCAGGTAAATGTGCTCAAAAACGAATTCATTGAAAGCCAACCCACTTAAATGGCCAACTATTTGCAAATGACTTTTCTCTTGTCTATTTTTAGTTATTATTTTGTCTTCCTAAGGGCATTAAATTTTTTTTATTAAGGTATGATTGATATACACTCTTATGAAGGTTTCAAATGAAAAAACAATGTGGTTACTACATTTACCCATATTATCAAGTCCCCACCCAGACCCCAATGCAGTCACTGTCCATCAGTGCAGTGCCTCAGATTCACTACGTGCCTTCTCTGTGCTACACTGTCCTCCCCGTGACCCCTCACACCATGTGTACTAAATATAATACCCCTCAATCCCCTTCTCCCTCCCTCCCCACTCGCCCTCCCACACTCCTCCCCCCCTCAACCCCCCCGTTTTGGTAACCAGTAGTTCATTTTTGGAGTCTCTGAGTCTGCTGCCATTTTTTCCTTCAGTTTTGCTTCATTGTTATACTCCACAAATGAAGGAAATCATTTGGCATTTGTCTTTCTCCACCTGGCTTATTTCACTGAGCATAATGTCCTCCAACTCCATCCATGTTGTTGCAAATGGTAGGATTTGTTTCTTTCTTATGGCTGAATAGTATTCCATTGTGTATATTTACCACCTCTTCTTTATCCATTCATCTACTGATGGACACTTAGGTTGCTTCCATATCTTGGCTATTGTAAATAGTGCTGCGATAAAGATAAACATAGGGGTGCATATATCTTTTTGAATCTGAGAAGTTGTATTCTTTGGGTAAATTCCAAGGAGTGGAATTCCCGGGTCAAATGGTATTTCTATTTTTAGTTTTTTGAGGAACCTCCATATTGCTTTCCACAATGGTTGAACTAGCTTACATTCCCACCAGCAGTGTAGGAGGGTTCCCCTTTCTCTGCATCCTCGCCAGCATTTGTTGTTCTTAGTCTTTTCAATGCTGGCCATCCTAACTGGTGTGAGGTGATATCTCATTGTGGTTTTAATTTGAATTTCTCTGATGATTAGTGATGTGGAGCATCTTTTCATGGGTCTGTCGGCCATTTGAATTTTTTCTTTGGAGAACTGTCTCTTGGTATCCTCTGCCCTTTTGTTAATTGGATTATTTGCTTTTTGAGTGTTGAGACGTGTGAGTTCTTTATATATTTTGGATTTTAACCCCTTGTCGGATATGTCATGTACAAATACATTCTCTTCCGAAGGGCATTTTAAAGCAAATTCAATTTGAGTCTGCTCCTGTTTTCTGCTGAAGCTAATCTTGAGGGGCCAGAAAAAAGAGAAAACCCAGAAGGACAAGGAATACAGAATAGTCATTTGTATTCCCTAGGGAGGTACCCTGCAGAGGAAGGAAGTCAGAAGTTATTAACTAGCTGTTTGATTTTTGGACAAATCTTTCTACTTGGGCTGAAATATGCAAAGCAGTGATCATAGAATTCACAGATTGTGGATGTGGATTGTGTGCGTGCGTGTGCTCGCGCGCGCGCGCGCGCGTGTAACACAGGCTTTGCCAAGGTAAACCCAGGCCGAGAGAAAGTGTCCTTGCTAAACCGGTATTATGTATTATGTAACCATAGTAACAGGGACTAGCGCGCATGCGTCCATCTAAGGAGCCGGCATGCTCCAGGTGCAGCTCACCCTCGCCCTCATCCTCAGATCGCTCTGCCTCTGCTGCCCTACTACTCCGCTCCGCCCTGCGGATTCCACGTAGCCAATCACCGCCCAGTTTTTCCTTGCTGTCTGCGGCGCTTGCTCAGGTTTCGAAAGCTCGGGGGCGGGCTCCTGATTTCGCGCAGGCGCGGTTGTCGTCTGTCCCCACGCTGGTACCGCGTCTCCTCAGTGCAGTACCTCCGCCTGGCCTTGCGATCCTCTTGTGTCTGGGCCCAATCTGTGCGGGCTCCGCCGCCGCGATGGGCAAAACTGCCGACTCTTGGAGTCCAGGAGCCCGGCCCGATCCGGTGAGGAGCTTCAATCGTTGGAAGAAGAAGCACAGCCATAAACAGACCCAAAAGAAGCAGTTGAGGAAGCAGCTGAAGAAGCCCGAGTGGCAGGTCGAGCGCGAGGTTATCAGCCGCCTCCTGCAGAACTACGAGAAGGTGAGGCCAGCGCAGGGCGGTTGGGGCTGGGAGCGGCAGCGGGGCCGTGTCACCGCGGCGCTGCGCTGCGGAAGCGGAGGGGGCCCACGTGTCACCGGGGACCCTGCTTGGGAAGCAGGTCGTTAGTGCGCTGGGCTGGAGTGGGGTGAGAGGCCCCACAAGTGGGCTGCCGGCCGCCAGCAGCCCAGTTCTCTTGCCCGAACAGTCCGCTCTTCCGCTCAGCACACAGTTCTTGATGAAATGATGGATTGCAGTGGTACTTAAGAATAGGGAGATTAATCTTGTAAAAATTAACATAATACAATACGGTAATAAGGACGCCTACATTTAAGCCTCTCACCGTGTACCTGACGTTATTTATCTGAGGTTTGGGTGTAATTCCCATTTTACAGATGAGAACATTGAGGCTCCCAGAAGAAACTTGTCCTAAGCTCCCACACTTAGTAGGTGGTGTGGAGTTGGAACCCAGACCCATGTCTTTCTGATTCTACAGCCTTTGCTTCTACCCATTATGCTGTTCCTCAGCGTTATCCATCCTCCCTCCAGTGCCCATCTTCCCACCAGTGCCCATCTCATTTTCACTGCTTGCTTCCTGTCCCCATCTAAGAATTGGCCTAAAACAGCTGGACTTCTGGTTTTTACCATCCCACATTGTAGCTGTTGTTCCCATATGAGTACCCCTGTAGTTATCATTTTGAACTCTTGACCTCTTTCCCACCTCAGGCTCCTTGGGCCTGTCACAGCCCCTTTACCCCCTAAATCTCGTGTCTTTTTGCCTTTGCCCATGTCACTCAGCCTTTTAGTGATTAAACCTCTGTAGTGCAGTATAACCAGGGATTTAACACGTGGGACATGTGTGGAATTAAAGTTTATGTGTCATGCTGGTTTAGGTCTCCTTTAAATACACTGAGATCAACACTAAGGATAGATAGAGGTTAGAGTTTGTTTGGGCTTTTGAGTCAAGGTGATTTGGTCCTGGCTTTTGCTCGCCAGAGGAGTGACTTTGAGCAAGTTACTCTGCCTGGTTCCCTTGTCTTTAAAAGGCCAACTTGTCGGTTGTGGCCAGTTAGTAAGAATGCATGTAATGCCTGAGACAGACAGACAGACAGACAGACAGACGCACACACACACACACACACACACACGTTATATTATTACTACTACTGCTATATATACCTTAAGAAGCCACTGTAAGTAAATTATTATTGGATTGTGTTTTCAGCTCTTCTTCATCTGACTAGAATTGCTTAGTATAGTCTCAGCCCTTGCTTTGTGTCACTCTCTTCTCTCTGTTTAATCCCAAGGTTTATGCATTTATACCAGTGACTCCTTGTCTTCTACCCTGAGTACTTATGACTTCATCTCCTTTCTACTGACTGTGCTGGATGTCTTAACCTAAATGTATTATAGGCATTTTAAATGCCACAAGTCTAAAGCTGAGTTCATTATCTTTTCTTCTAAATTCACAATCCTGTGTATTTGTTCCCTACTGCAACTCAACTTTGTGGCATAAAACAACAAAAATGTTTCTGTTACAGTTCTGGAGGCCAGAAGTCTGAACTCAGCTGGGTTGGGCTGAAGTGGAGCAGGGGCTGATGTTTCAGCAGGGTCATGCTTCCTCTGGATGCTCTGGGGGAAATGAGTTTCTTGCCTCTTCTAGCTTCTGGTGGCTGTGTTCATTACTTGGCTTGTGACTCAATCACTTCAGTCTCTGGCCCCGTGGACACATTGTGTTTTCTCCAGAAATCTGTCAAATCTACTTCTGCTCTTTTTAAATAAGGATACTTCTGATTGCATTAGGGTCTATCCAGATAATTGAGGATAATCTCAAGATTTTTAATCACACCTGCCAAGTCACTTTTATCATATAAGGTAATATTCTCAGTTCTGGGGGTTAGGGTATGGACATATTTGGGAACCCTTACTTAGTGTACTATATCTCAGCCCTTCCATCTAAGCAGACTGCCAAGCTAGAAACCTAGAGACCTCTCTCTTACCACTCTTGTATCTAGTCAATCACACTGAGGTTATCTGTTCTGCTTCTTATATTTCTTAAATGCTTCTTTATGTCACTATTGCTATGCCTTCGTTAAGGTGCCATCATCTGTTGGCTGGATTACTGTAGTGGCTGTTGCTTATAACAGGGTCAGCAAACTTTTTCTGTAAGGACTGGATAGTAAGTGATTGCAGCTTTGCAGGTCAGAAAGGTGGAAGTACTCAACTCTGCCATTGTAACAGAAGAGCTGCCATGGGAATACTTAAACAAATGGATGTAACTGTGTTCCAGCAAAACTTCAGTTATGAAAACAGGTGGCTGATTGGTTTTGGCTCTTAAGCATTATGCCCTTTTAATCTATCCTCCTTATTGCTCCTGGTAGGATTCTTTCCAGGATGAAAAGCCAATCATTTTACTCCTGATTTAAATCCTTTGCTCACAGTTACTTTTAGGAAAATTGTCAAACACTTTAACATGTCAGCATGTTCTAATCCAGTGAAAGAGTAAGTTATTTGTGGTCTGGCAGACCTGGCTTGAATCTCATTTAGCCTGGGTATTGACTAGCTAAGTTTCTTATGTTTCTGAATCTGTTTCTTTCATTCAACAGAGATTAGTGACTACCCAAAGTGTTGTAAGGTGCAAATGAAGTAATGTACATAAACCAAGTGGGATATGATAGGCATTTAACAACTTGTAGTTTGGTGGATTGGCCGTGCTCCTTGACGCCTGTCCTGGTATTTGATTTTCCACTGCTTGCAATAAGCACTCTTGAATAGCACCCCACCCTGCAGACTTTTAAACTTTTCTTCCTGCCCTCCCCAGGTGGCTTCAGGGCTGCTGTATGTCTGTAGCATTTTGTATACACCTTTATTACATCATTTATCACCAGGCTGTGATGACTGGCGTCTTTATCTTATTTGTTGACTCATCCACTAGAAGACCCTCTGTCCTGCCAATGAGTGTCAGCCCCAGGCAAGTTTGCTATGGATTCAATGTGGCCAAAGAAATTGACAGCAAAACGTTTTTTGGGGTGAAAGGGTTTATTACCTGGCTTGTTTTCCTGGCGGAAGGTTGAGCACTAGCATCTCTGCCTCGACCCAGAGCACTGGGCCGAGCTCTCTATATAGAGCAGTAATAGCTTATTGCATAAAAGTGTGGAAGTGGTAGGCTAGCAACAGGCCAGTTACATCATCAGGTGGTTTAAGTTCAGTGAGGATCCTGGCCATAGGAATCCCAACTTCCTCACACTCCACCCCTCCAGTATTCTCACTTTACAGTCTACACACTCTCAATCTTCTGCAATGGTCCCTGTGTATGGATAAAATGAGACTTCCTGTGGCCAGGATTCTTACCTGGCCCTGATTGACTAGCTCACTGCACACCTGTGGGCAATACATGGCTGTTGACTATATATAAAGAGCTCCACCCAGTGCTCTGGGCATGACATGGTGGCAGGGCTGCAAGGCTGCAGGAGAGCAGAGCAGGGCTGGAGTGGTGGCAGCACTGAGGACAGAGGCCCAGAGGATGGCTGTGCGGGATGACTGCAGAGAGGCTCAGAGGATGGCTGTGCAGACAGAGGGGCCCAGAAGCAGAGACTGGCTTGCTGCCTGCAGACTCTCTCTGAGTGATTGGGATTCTAGTGACTGACCTGCCACCTGGAAGTACATCTGGGTATAACCCTTTCACTTCAAGAACGTTTTGCTATCAATTTCTTTGGTCACACTGAATCCATAGTGAACTTGCCCGGGGCTGAAACCCATTGGCAAGACAATTGGTGTAGTTGGCAGGACTCATTGTTGACCAAGGAAAAAGGCTGCCCTTATGGGACGGGTGCTTCAGCGGACTGCCCCTGTGAATGGGGAGACAGTGGATTGTCCCCCAATGGCTGTGTGGTTTGAGGTGGCTTGCCTCCTAGAGGACTGGCCCCGACCCCAGGACTGGAGGCAAGTGGAGGTGACATCTGAGGCTGTAGGGGTGGCCTTTGGTATAATAAGTAGATCCTTTGAGAAGCAGAGTGCCTGGGAGGCAGCGGGGACTGTTAGTTGGCTGCTTCTCACAGTATTAAAAAAGTCTACAGAGGAGACCCAAGAAATGGTGGCACAAGAACCAGCTGTGAAGCATTGAGCTGAAGGTAAGAGACCTTCTGAAGACTGAGCTGGCATTGTTGTGAGGCACTGTAGCAGAGGAGGCACTTGGGGGAGTGGAGAGAAAGGTGCCATCAGCCCCAGGATGGAGGTGCTGAGGAAGGATGAAGGGGTGGTGCCAGAGGCTCTGGCCCCTCCTGTATTGAAAGCAGTACCAGTGGTTGTAAAGAAAATAAAGACCCAGCAGCTGAAAGTTCCCCAAGGAGAGAAGCAGCCCCCTCCCCAGGTCGTGGAGCACTCTATGGTCTGCCCCTATACTCAGGCTGAGCCGGGGACTGTGGGACTTAGGGGTGGATGGAATTGTTCTGTCGGGCACAGAGATGGGAAAGCTGTCTTCCCTGACAGTGCAGCCGGCCTTGAGGCAGTGATTACAAAATACGAGGTGACACGTACAGTAGCTGAAGCAACGAGAACCTGGAAAGAAATAAGACCTGTTACTCACAGGAGGAATTTGAAGGGCCTCGTGAGGGTTACAAGGACCCAGATGTGGGTTGATTTGATATGGGCAGGAATAGATGGAAGGAAATTAGATGAGAAGCCAAATAGGATCTTACTGGAGCTATGGCAACAGCTGAAACCAGAGCAGCAGTTCCAGCCATTAAGACCAAAGAGGCAGAGGTCAGAGACAAAGCCACGAGTCCGGCCTGTGTGTCTGCAAGATTTTTTGCTGGAGAGGCTGGAGAACAATGTTCGAGCTTCCTTGCACAGGGACCATTGCAGAGGACTAAGGGCACATAGATTGAGAGGAGAGAATCCTGGAGGGGTGGAGTGTGGATAAAATGAGAGTTCCTGTGGCCTGGATTCTCACCTAGCTGTAGTTGACTAGCTCACTGCACACCTGTGGGCAATACATGGCTGTT